TATATCTGAAATGTTTAATTGTTGCCAAGAAAAGCACATATTACACAGCCATATATTTTGATAGCACTTACAGATGTGAAAAAGAAGAGGAGCCATTAAGAATAACAACAACTAAAATATATCCTTATGTGGGAACCAGACAAAAAGTAAAGGGATTTAGGCCATAGAACTTCTCTTGGTTATAGACAAATCCAGTCAAATGCTGTAAGGCACCTTTAGCTCTTCATTGTTCTAAAGGCTTTGCATCCCACAGCATTTCTGTTCTCTGGCTCCACTCAAAGTAGTCCCTTCACTCAGCGCCATGAAGCATGTTTTCAAATTTAGTGAATAATTCACAGTGAATCATTTATTCAGTGCACTTCACTATTTTGATTGTCTCCCTCCTCAGATTAGGATGAGGTTAAATTTATTTCCCAAAGGAAATAGTTTGCTGATTAATTTTAATTTTCACTCATTGTTAATCCTCAGACTGGCTTTGAACAGTTTACTCTGTTTATCAATAGCAAGGGGTGGTAGTGTTTAATAGATAGATCAAGAGCATTATTATGATTAGATTTGGGATGTATGAGCCTAGGAGTTGCCTTCTTCAGATAGCCATAGAAATTTGTGAAAAATCACTATTTCTACAAACATTTTTAAAAGTGCATTTTGTGTGTCTGTGAACAAACAGATGATGTAAGGGAATGAGAGAAAGTTTTCCTTTTTTTTTTTTTTTTTTTGCAGCACTTGTTCAGCAATAGCTTGTCTTCAAAGCAGGTTCAGTTCTGATGTTTTTTGCTGGATTGGGTGAAACAGATAGAAGGAATACATTAGCTGAGCCTAAACCCCAGCAGTCTGGGCCTCTGCTGCTAGCAAACAGACAAGCAGATCTTCTACTAAGACACCCACTAGATATTTAGAATGCATCATGAATCTTCAGAAAAATCCCTCCAGTCCTTTGTACCTGCATCTCATAATTCTCTGTTTCTTGTCTACTGAAAAGTTCTTTGGAGAAAGAACGTTGTCTTACACCAGTGGCACAAAGCATCAATAACCTTCGCTGGAGCTCTTGTTCCTTGAGATAGCTAACAGCTATAGTAACAAGTATAAAAAAAAGGATGCATTTGTGCAGCCAGAGGCAAAAGCAGCTTAGAAACGTTTAAATAGACACAATGGCCTGCCAGCCCCTGCTTTCCTTTTCTGCTTCTGTGTGTGTGCATGAGAAGCTATGCTTCAATTCTGTCTCTTGTCCCATCTGTTATCCCTTTTGTTGAGCTATAAATAAGACATACACAAAAAAAAGCAAGAGGAAAACCACTCCTAGCAGATAGACAGCAACTGTAGCAAGGTCTAACATGAGTGATGACTAAGAAGCATCCAGCTTCCAAACATAGTTCAAGCTAGTATTCAAAAATAACACAATGAAAAGGTTTGGAATGATAGTCTAAAGAAAATTAATATATAGTGATTTACCTCCAAACCAAACTTGTAGAAGAAATAGTTTATGAAATACTTGACACAGTTTACCAGTCCATCATCCAGATGTGCTCTTGTAATATCATGGAAAATGGTTTTTGTCACAGGTGTGGTAAGATTATTTCGACATCTGTAGTACTCTTGATGACGGTAGATTGTAACTTCAAAAGCCAAAATAGCCAGCATCAGTAAGTTGTTCTACGGGAGAGACAATCAGAAGAATATTAAATAAAAAACAAACCCACAAAAAGCTATAAAATTTTCTGATAAGCATAAACCCATGAATACTAAAATGGATGTCACCACTAAATGCTTCTGCACTCCAGGATGCACTGGCACCTGTTCCCAGCTACTATCACTGAAACAAATTAAGATTCCTACCACTTCTTGGATTTTGATGAAACACACTGACTTGCAGAAGATACATTTAAAGTTATTAATTAAAAAATACTATAATGAACAGTACTTGTGGAAACGAAGGGGAGGGAAAATGCATTGACCCATCTATGTGCCCTTTCATGTTTCATAGCTTTTCTTAAGATATCGTACTTTGCTTTGCAGGAGATAGAGGATACAAGCATACACAAAGCAATCTGCAGGAGTACAGCTGGCAAGTGCTGACTTCCTAAAACTGGAAGGATGCTGGGTAGTGCAAATATATCCTGGATACACTTTTGAATGAACATTCTATCTGCCAGTCTTCACTCAGACACAGCTCCTCCTGTCCCAAAGCCAGACTGACTGGGATGCAGTCTTGAGCGGCTCTGAAGTGAGGTTTTTTTTCTCTCAGGTGGGAGATCTGCCCTATGTTTAATGGAAATTAACCCACTCCAAAAGTGGGTTAAAAAGACCACCTCAGAGAAAGTCCCTCAAGGAAGCCATAACTGAAGCTGAAGAGGCAACCTCTAGATCTCTGTTCACTGAGAAATATTTGGGACAAGAATGTCCTGAGACAGGTGCCACTGTTGGGGGTTTTTTTTGTTTGGATTTTGGGGTTTTTTGACAAGAATTATTTTTGTTTTCTATCCCTGGGCTTCCTATTGTTGTTGGGGAGAGTTTTACACAATCTACCATACATAGGCTCCTCACTTCAACACTGCAGACATTCTGAATGTCTGTTATTAAAGGGACATAACGGAAACACACTGAGACATGAAACTTGGGACCTTCAGGTCTAGCACTGAATTGAATTCCTCTATGTAGAGGAATTTTATTTGAAAACTCAATGAAAACCTTCCTAGAATAATTTCTAATCCTAAAGTATTATTTGTTTATAGCTGTAAAGCTCCTAGCATCAAGCCAGACACCACTAGGCAACTTCACTCTCCATGAAGAACTCTCGGGTCAGTAATTGCTCTTCCCCACATATATTCTTAACTGTGGGAGGCACATGGCTAAGGGACTGAGAGGCTGAGGTGCTACCAGGGCCTGATACATTGCTCGCCAGAGCTTAGCGAGTCTTCCCTAAGAGGTAAGCTCTCAGGGAAGGAAGGAGAAATAAATCTAGTTAGATCAAAACTTGTTTTTGTTCAGGCAAACAAATTTCTGACAACCTTAAAAACTGCGTATATAAAATTTTAGAGACTCTTGAAATTAAGAAGAGACATGCAAGGTTTCCCTCTGGGAGCTGGCACAGTTATATTGTAAGTAGGGTTTTTTTAATCAAGATAGGAATAATAAAACATTGCTCACAGGCAGCAACCAAAACCAAGAAAAAACCCAAAAGACATCCACTTACTAGTGTCTGAATGAGTTATTCCCTTAACTGATTATATTCTCTAAGCTGTGGCTAAGGAATAAGCACTTAAAAAAATTAACTGCTTATAGCATATACTGTCATTCAAGGTAATTACTCCAATTAGACCCATCAGTCCTTTGCTACCTGAAAGTGATGTACCTCTTAATTACTTAGAGTTCTTAAATATATCATTTCTTAAAGTGCTTTTAACAGGTGGTAGAGTCAGAAAGCCATATTTCTACAGGCAGATTATCTTAATTGGTACCGAATCCCTTCTGGAAATGTCCTGTGTAATGGATATGGCTTTCTGCTGTCTCTTCCCCTCTGTACTTCCCTATTATCAATGGCTTGCATTACTTTTTTGTGTGTGTGTAGTAGATGAGATTTTAAAGACATTGTTAATTTCATCACAAATAAGAAAATATTCGATACAGATAATTAAAGAAGTTACCCTTAAGTACACAAGCAGGGGATAAGACTTCCTCAATCCAACCCACTCTGCAGGATCAACTGGCCCACTGTAGAGGACTGAGGTTTTGAGTTCTTCTAAATTGACCTTAGTTTCATTCTCTCCTGGCTAAACAGAAAATGCAACAGTTCATAAAAAATGAGTTTAAGGCTACTTGTCGAATGATAATCGACAATAATACATCAGGTGAACTGTAGTTTTCAGTAATTGATATGGTTCCTTTTGCTCTTCTTCATTGAAGAAGGCAGTAATCAAACCTTTTTAATATACACTTGTACTCACCAATGTACAGTTACTGGAAAAAGTGCTGGGATCAATAGAAGTGAGCTGGTACAACATTTTGCAGACAATAATCACACATGTCCAAACAGTGCAGATACTTGATGCCAATGGGCGAAACTGAGCATATGGCAAAGCAAGAGCCCAGGCAATTAAAAACACAAAGTTAAACAGAGACACCTGAAAACACAAAAACAGGATGGAAATTACGTGGAGTAACAAGAGAACTGAGGAAGTCTGACCTTTTCCATAGTAATTTAAAAAAAAAAAAAAAATCAAAAGAAAGGGACATAGAGAAACTGTGAGAAAAATACTGAAAAAAAGTTACAACAATATTCACAATCACACAGACACAAAGTGGTAAGTGAAGAAGGAAAACCTTAATAGTCAGTTTAAGAAGAATGTTATCTCCTACATAATAGTAATACTGTTAGACCAACAAAACTGCACACCCACCCTACAAACAGACATGAAATACAAAGGACCACATGCTGGTTCTGCTGCTTTAGTACTCATGAAACAAAGAGATGATACAGATTCATGTGTCTGTGGAACCCACTTTCATCCTCTTGACCTTTTTCCCCCAGAAGATGTGAGAAAAAGGTTGTGGTTTTTTTTGGTTTTGTTTTTGTTTTTTTTTAGTGAATCCTGTCCTACTACTCTGTTTTAGAAATGGCTATGTCAGGCAGAGAACTCATGCTGCCCACACCACAGGCACAGCCATGTTCCTGTTTCCTCAGCACCAGACCCAGTTTAATTAATTTTCCTAGATGTTCCATCCCAACCCTTTTCTACACCCTCCATATCCAGATGATGCCCATGGCCAGCTTGAGCAGTGGAGGGATTATATCTCCTGAGTCCAAAGAATTAGACTAATAAAAACCTTAATATCTGGAGAAAAGGGGAGGGCTGAGAATATCTAGGCAGATAGAATATCACTGTGGAGAAAGACGTTAAGGCAGATCCCCAGCAGCTGTCAAGCCCAGATGGATCTCACAATTTCAGTGAGGTCTGACATGAGGAAATCATGTCCCTACACTCAGGTGTTCCACTGCACAGCAGATGCTGACAAGCCTCCACCATGGGTAAGATTTTGACAGTGGGTGTTTACTTGCCTCTTTCACTGTGACCCAGATGATGTAAGAGGAAACGATTTTGATGATGTGTAGCTCCAACAGCCACCACACAAAGACTTGCATCTTATGAAAATACTCCAGGAATTTCAGAAACAGCACTGTAAGGCGGTCGATCACCAGATGCCACTTGTTCCTTAAGTCTGCAGAGATGTTCAAGCAGAACCATTGGGAGGAGAAAAACAGAAGATCTCTGTAAAAAGGCATGGTCCACTGGACAACAATGAGCTTTCTACTTCTAGGCCTTAGAGTAAGACAAGAAGGAGTTTAAAGGTATGGCTCAGTAACTAAGACAAAATGGGGTTGAGGCCCACTCAGCTGTGGTGCTTTCCCTTCTGACCCACATTCACTGAAAGGATTCCTCACTTCAAAAGTGGTGGTGGTTGCTTCCCTTGTCAATTCAGCTTTTATTCCCCTCTAGCAGAGCCCATCTTGGGCTCCATTTTCCTCTAGTATCTTTGGACCTAAGCTTAGGGATCCCATTCAGGAACTAGATCTGAGACACTCCAGCCCAGGCCAGCTCAGAAAGAATAGGATTTTGTTTTACATCTGAAAGCTATGGACCCAGTCTGTTTTCAGAAAGCACAGACTACTGCTATTCAGAAAGCTTTTCAGCCAGCCTGGAAGAGATTCATGCACACTAGGAGTTGGATTCTTGTCACATGGGTTGAGACAGCTATACTATAGATGTCTTCATATGTCAGAGTTATCTAAACTGCCTTGCAAACAGCACACCCTCCTAGAGTGCCATCCCAGGACAGACATCTAACTCAGGCAAGGCAAATGGTAGTCCAGTTGAATTTTTCTCTCATTTGAAAAGGGAGCTTTAGCAAGTTAAGATCCTGAAGTTGGGTGAAAGTATCTCTTCGCAGACAGTATTTTGCTAAAAAAGCCATCGTCCCAAATAATACTCCAGCGAGCAAGTACGTGTAACAACTATTACATATGAGTATATATGACAATACATATGCTGAACAGTGCTCTCTAAGTGCTGCCTTTGCTTGTGGGCTGGCTATAAAATGGTTTTACCGGGCTGGTATATATTAGTATAAAGTCTTCACACTGTATTAGAGGTTTCAGAAGCATGTTGGAGATTAGGAAGGATTTTGCATGCTGTGAGAACATTCTTACAGTTAACATCAGAGATGGAAACATTTGCAACTGACACCAAAATACATCATTGTCTAAGCTGGTAAAAAATGCAAAGGAGTTACCAGCTTCTGTACATAATTAGTTGAAATTATCTGGTTATTTTATATATAAAGTAAACCAAGATGGTTATTCTGTGCATATTTGTGTGAAGAACATCCATGCTTGTGTGAAAAAGCAGACTTTAGGAATACTTGACAACCAAATTCCATTTTTTTTTTTCCTCTTCTGCCCTTTATTATCCAACCACAACTTAGAAAATCCTAATATAAATGCTGAGTGATGTAAATCCCATGAGTAGATAATTAAACTAGACAAATTAATTAAGCTATAGAACTTTAATCTTGCATGTGTCCTTTTAGAGGTGCAATGATTGTATTTAAGGAAAGTATAGAATTAGATGTTCTCACTCATTTTTTCATTGCATTTATTTTAATTTGCAGTGTTGCCACCATGCAAGGTATATCTAGACAGTGCCCAGTAAGTGGAGCAAGCAGATAAGGGACTGTAGCAAGCTCTGTCTAGCATGTCCAGGCACTACATGCACAGGGGATAAAATATAGGCCTGATTGCATCCATTGAAAAATTGTACCTCACTGTGTAATAAAGTCTGCACACACAAACTTGTTAATATAATGTCAAAACTCCAGCCACATGGATATAGAAAAATGATAGAACTCTTCGGTAGAAACAAATGCACGTACAGCTTGAAGACGGATCACACATGGCAAGCAGCACCTCGTGCTATTGCCAAGCCCCACTCGCTGCGGTGCAGAAGGGGGCCCGGGGAGAAGGCTGCAGCTCTCCCCTTCCCTGCTTGCGTGTGTCGCTGCACAGCATGACCTCCACTGGCTCTGGCCTCTGTCCCCAAGCCCTTCCAGCATGTAGGGATTGCCAGAGCACAACAAACTCATCATCGCTCATGAGAGCTGGCCAGGAAAGGTTTCCATGGCCCATGAACACCTCTGTGAGGGAAGACATCCCAGCCAGGAAAGGTAAATAGTTTCAGGTCAGCTTCCTGGGGGAGCTAAGCCAGATGCGCTGCCATTTTGCCTCAACAAAGACCCTGTCCTGATTTATGTGTGACAGTTCTGTGAATATTGGCATGAGCAACTAACTCTGTGGTAAGGCCATTTCCAAACAATACAGCTTCCTTGAGTGTTAAATGCCCTTCTCCGGTTTTCACTCATGGCTCATATTCCAAACTGAGTTACGGAAATAATTCATGTTAGGAGTTCATCCTAGCAGTATCAAGGATGACAACATCAGCCTTTCCCATGTCTGCTCTTAGGCATTTTTATGTTCATGTGGCATCAATTACACATTCCATATTCAGAAGTGAAAAATATGACACTAATGTACACATGAATAATGAAGCAAAGCCATTGGGACTTCTGGAGTGGAGTGCCTTAAAAGCATCTAGTATCAGAGATTAAATATGTACGTGTATTTTCTTTATGATAAAGAGATTTCACTCTAAAGCAGTTCTTAGGATTTGGGGCAACCTCCTATTAATCCAACCCAGACCACCTAGAAGAGTTCCCTCCTGAAGAAAGAGGTGGGTTTTTTTTTTTGTTTTCAACCTCTCAGCATCCTACAGAAACAGTGTGATTTTTCCCTAGAAGAGACCATAGCCTGTTGACTAATTGACAAATAGCTATCTGCTCAGTTCGGGCTCTTTCGGCAAAGACTGTATGTAAAATTAGAAGGAAAACCTGACGATTAAAGTGAGCAGGGATGACCAAGAATGAATCATCTGTTGCCACTGTTAACTAAGGCTGAGGAAGGTGAAATTTGCAACCTGTGGAACTTACCTGTAGTTTCTTCTTCCTCTGATTCATTGTCTTCATCATCATCATCTTCCTTGTCATCTTCCTTTTCTTCTTCTTTTCCTTTTTCGACCCTCCCTTTCCCTCCCTCCCCCTCTGGCTCTTCTATTCTTTTCTCACCAGCCTCTTCCAGCATTTTATCCTCTTCCTTTTCTCTGCTGGCTGTTAAATTCATCATAGTTATGTCAGGTAGGCTTCCATCTTGGTGTACCAGTCTGTTGGTAAATAATAGTATGTCAGCAAACTGAGCAGTAATGACATTGCAGTCTTTTTCTTTTTCAAGATGTATAATTAGAAAAAATAAACCGTTCATGGAAAATGCCTTAGAAGTGGAAAAGTTAATGATTCTGGTACTTTCTCCAAACACACACTGCAAATTGAGTTGGAATGTATTAGTAACTACTTCTCACTCAGATACTAATGGTTAGTTAGTAATGAGTGGTATTGACACTTAAACTTGACATTTTCCCCACTGGAGAAAATGGTCAGAGTTTAAGATGCAGAAGCATGAAATGACATTGTTTAAGAGGAAACATTTCATGACTTCATAGGGGACTTACTCATTTTGGTGGTTTGGTATTTTTTTCTTGAGGCTGCTCAAAGTAATTGGAATAGAAAGAAAAAGGGAGATGAGAACAGAGGGGTTACAGAAGAAGGTCATTGACAAATATGTCATGCTACATCACAAGTCATAAAGCATTCTCCTACTCCATCTGCAGAAGCCTTCTGATGCCAAGAGCATGCCATCATGACATTCACAGGGTGCTTCTATAAAGAAACATGGAATTGCAGCACAGATGGAAAGAGGTCAACCTATTTACACCAGTGCTAAACATGGTCAATGCTGTACCATGCTGTCAGTAATGCAGCTGAATCATCACAAGTATCTGACTGATTACTGTAAATGTGTTTCCACCTTCTTCCAATTGAAAGGTGCAGCTGGGAAGCCAAGGAATTTGCAAACGTTCTTCCAGTGATAGGCTTAGGAACAAATGAAAGCAAAAATTTCATGGCTGTGGCTCCAGTATCTTTTACCATGTCTGTCTTCGATAGTGCCATTCATTCTCTCTCTTTTCTGCATCTCACAGAGAATTTTGCTTGAATTTATAAATCTCTCTTACTAAATCTATTAGTAATTTTCAGACTACCAAAACTGAGATACATGGAAATGGTACTTCTCTGTTGTCATGGTGCCAATTTTTATGAGATTTATCCAACATATATCTTTTCTTTATTGAGAAAAGACACACTCTCTTATGGCTTCAGATACTTTCTTCCCCCCACCCCCCAAGCTGTGCTGTTGGGACTCACCTCCGATATTTGCAGAAAAGCCACTTTTCCTAATTCCTGATCCTATGTGCTTTGCTGAGCATAACTTTTATTCCATGAATAGTTCCTTTGAATAAGACTTCTTGCAATAATGTCTCCCTTTGGCAAGTGCATATCTATATGATCAGGTCACTAAATGTTTAGTTATGCTATTGAAGTTACTACACTCAGCATACTTTCAAGCACCTGTTAGACTGTTCCTGGACTAATGCAATGAACTTTAATATGCTACAGTACCTCAGGGCTTTATTTTTCACAATGTGAAATTCTGGCATATTACCATTTAGACAGGAAAATCTGCCAGTTTTAGCTAGGATTTTTACAGTTCACAAGACTAAAAATCTAGATTCAACCATCTGATCATCAATAAAGAGCATAGGCCGAGCAGTTAATGAGAAGGTCAAACAAGCAGAATTATTTTTCCAATATTTGGGAGTTGCAGATGGATACTTCTTCAAGATGGATACTTTGGTGGCTCAAATGAAGGAAAAGCTACAGAAACTTGACTAAACAATCCTGAAGTAGTAACATCATAGCAATTACCAAAAAGCAGAAAAGGTGGCTTAAAAGTAGAAGTTTAACAAGACAGTCAAGCACCAAATAATCTCTCTGAATAAACACATTTATGACAATGATTGCTAAAATCCCTCATCATGGATTGGGCTACAAACCTGAGTGACCAATAATCTGAAAATCTCTTATACTCAAAAATATATTCAGTAGCTTTGTCTACTGAAAATAAGGGGGTTTGGCCTGATATACTTTATTTTCATATTTAAGCTAGCATACATACTGAAAGGATATTCAAATCTCTGTAAAATGACTAAACATAAATAAAATGACATAATCTAACTTGGCATATCTACCTAAAACTCTAATAATGTACCAACAGGGCGTCATGTATAAAGAAAAGAGAATGAATTTTCAGTTCAGTTCAAATGTTAGGGAGATCCTCAGTTACTATAAATCACCAGAGCCCGTTTAAAAGGCAATGTTCCATGAAATGAAAGTATCCATATAATCGGACAGGTTTTGCACACGTGCAATTGCATTGATTTTAATGAGATATCTTCCCAACTGACTTTTATAATGGAAAAATCTACATTCACACTGGTGTAAATCAAGGACTTAATGACTTACCTCAGCACAAACTGGACAGAAACACAGTAACCCTATAGGATTTTATATGAGAGGACTCATCTTTCTCTTATTCATGTAACTCCCATTCATATCCAGGAGATGATACAGAAAGTGATGGGGTTATAAAGATAGGTACATGCAATATATATACTTGATAAAGTCTCAGCATCAGCTCAGTTTTCAATATGTCGGCGCTTAGTTCTACTGTCATCAGTAGCCTTGAGCACGGGACCGTGTGCTCAGAAGATCCGAGGCCTCATAAAAAGCCCTGCCCATTATTCAAAAAGTTTGCCTACTTGGAATCTTTCTTCCCAAACCTCCTCATTTATTGCTAAGGTTGTTGTTCCTCTTTTTTTTTTTTTTTTTTCTCTCCTTTCTCACTATAAGATCACGTGGTATCATGTAACAGATAACACTGAGGTATCAGGACATAAAAACTGCACTAGTTTAGAATATCTAAGACCAGCTACCCATACAGGTGTCACAGCTAGTCAGGTGTGACTTCAAGGTGAAAAGCACATCCTGGTGGGAAATTATCAGAAATAACACAAAGGTATTGTGTCTGATACTTAGGAAGGGAAATAACTAACTAATAATGCAGACAACGAGCCTTGAAGGTACAGCCACTAATGCTTTTAACTGAGAGCATTTCTTACCCTCAAATTCATTAAATAGGAATTCAGTAGTGGGAAGTATACTAGTAGACCTAGTTTTAGGCACCAAAGCAATTTCAGAGCCACTAAAATCAGGCGCGTGTCTCAGGTCCTTGCTGGACTACTAGTACTTTCATCTATTTGTAATTTGCTAGAGCAGAAGATTAATAACAACTTACTGGATGCATTATGAAGCATCTTTTGCTTTTCATAATTTTTTTGCAATCAGTTTATGAATTGCTTGAGACTTTCTGTTCCAAAACAATTTCTCAAGTATCTGTCACGCACAGCCTTAATAATAGAAAGCTTTCTGCTCTGCAGAACACTAGTGACCCATCTCCTGAATATTCAGCATGCAAGATTCAAACTGAGCACACAGTGCCATACCTCTATTGGCAGGACCCTGAGTGCTTTCCCTCCCCTTGCTGGCTGGTATGTGCTAGGATGTGTGGCCAAGCCTCAGTGCAGGGGGTCCCTCTCCTTCCTTTGGGAGCTGGTTTCATGCAGAGGCTCTTGTGCCTACATCGCGGCTGCATCGCAGCTGTGTCTGCGCCTGCTCCCATGCCTCCCTGGCCCTAAGCCTGACGCAGACTGACTCCCCGCCTTCACCTCCAAGCTGGATCACCTCTATGGACTTGCTGGGAGCTCTCCAGGCTGTAGGTGACCCTTGTTACTGTCTCCAGATCTGATCCTCACCCTCAGTTGCTGGTTCCCGTTCTTGACTCCCCATGAGGGGAGCCCAGCCTTGCCTCCTGACCCACAGAAGACCTTCTAATCTTGGAGCTGATTAAACAAAAGCCCACATTTACTCCAGTCAAATATTTTGAAAGAAATCTACTTTATGGAACTGTTTTCAAGATGCCATCCCAAATGGGATGATGACGACGGCAATATGGACTTCTGTATTTTGGCTCCTGCAGCACCCAACGCAGCCTATGAGCAATATGGGCTTTTGTAGTTTGGCTCCTGCAGCACCCAACGCAGCCTATGAATTAATACCCTTAGCATGCAGGGGTTTCAGTGTACTGCATGTTCCATTTCTGTCTCTGAATCGGGAAATCTCAGTCTGTACAAACTCATAATACACACTGCATATTTAATTGACTTGGCTCTCATATTCCCTTTCTTAGGTGCTTGTGAGGAAGACAGGGATGTATGTCTCTGTGTCTGTGTCTGTGTGCACATGCAAGCATTCACCTTTCCATGCACAAACAAAGGGTAGATAAACGAGCCTCCTCAACCAAGTCTGTTGTTTGCAGCCAATTACAAATAGCACCAATTATTCCTGTATTGAGGCATGGGCAAAGTTTAAGAGAAGAATTGCCAGCTGGAAGATAAACTCACAACATATACATATGCAGCAGAGATGTGTTAACTGCTTCACCAGCTGAAGGAGACTACAATACCTGAACAACATCATCTCCCTGCTTACTTCATAGTACTGTGCAGCAAGAACATTCTTTGTCTTAAGGCAATTAATAAGTAACAAAAAAGTTAAGGTGTATTTGTTTTAAAGGAAAGGAAGAACTGAAGTACCCACCTATTAATTATTAGATAAACACGGCCATTGACTTTGGCATGGCTATGAGGTGGGAGATGAAAGCACAAGAATGCATGAGATGAAAATGGGAAATGAATTAGAGAGAGAGAAAAGGAAACCATTAAATAGGAATGAATGCACTTTCCTGTCTACCAAGAGACATTGTCATAACAATACCATTGTCATAACAAAGCACAATCTGAAAGCTTAACATACACCATGCAGCAAAAAGTCCAGGAAGCTTATAAACACAATACTTAGACATTTAGACCGTATGCAACTTCAGTTAGAATTGCAGGTTCTTTTCACAGACCCAAAAATGTGAGAACAGTCTCTACTGCTTTATTTCAAGTAAGTATCAGAATATTCTGAGTTTTTTTAAAAATAGCTACTTTGCTTCTTTTTTATCTAAAGGTGATTATAATGGAGCATCATACCATAGAAATATGCCTTGCAGCCTGTATCTCTGCCATACCATAATTCATGGTGCAGCAAGGAAATGGGCTTGGGAAGACCTAATCAGAGCATTTGTCTTTCTCTTGCAGATGTAAAATTGACCTTTATAAATCACCTTTGTAAATAGTGAGAAGCGCCTCACTCTGCCAGTTCCAGAGTGCCAGTTTTTGTTCCCTCTGTTTGCATCTGGCAGAGCCTTACTCTTGAACTCTGCAAACTTTGCTCATGTGAAGCAGCATCTTAACACGTGAACAGCCTCAGCAATTTTAACAAGACTCTTCAGTTAGTTAGACACAAATATAATACCACAATCGTACACAGCAGTTCAGGGGCAGATGGAGGAACTGGATCTGCTTTCCCTATTACTTTCATGACTAGCTCTCACCTCCTGTGGTTGTTGAGTTCTGTCTGCTTACTCAAAACTGAGGTTTAGTTTCTTTAATTTTTTTTGTTTGTTGCAAAAGAAGCAGCAAAAAAGCAGTTTTGAAAGGTAAACTAGCTGTTGAATGAATGCTAGTGTTTCCAAAGCAAAAGGGAAAATGAAATTTTAATGGCTTTGTAAGAAAATTGCACACACACATATATGAGCCTTTAATCTGTGTTTTAATTGTCCCTGCAACTTATTTCTATTGCTAGCATTACTGTTAAGCTGGAGCTGGTTGTTGTGGTAGTTCTTATCCAGCTTTACACTCAATACAAATGTCAGCTGCACTCTCATCCTGAAGCTTTGAACTATAAAGTTGGCTGATGCTCAGTACTGATTTATCACATCAAGAGGGAAGAAAACAGCTGGATCTTCATATGCCAGGCATTGATTATGGTAATACAAACCAGAAAAAGTTCTGATTTGGGCATTGGACACACTTGTGAAAGCTTCTGAGGAGGAACAAACAATATACATGGCAACTGTGATTTTGCAATACTGTAAAATTGCAAATGTAGCACATAGACCACATTTAAGAGTTAAAAATATCAAGCTACCTATCTGACAGCTCAATACAATTTAGTACACATTTAGACTTAAGAACCCAGCAATAAAGTAGCAAAAAAGCCAATGATATCACATGATCCTCTTCACCTGCCACTTCCGTAAAAAGCCTGGTGTGACAACAAATGTCTACTTTCAGCACCCTATCTCAAGGTTACTTGCTCCTAGCAAAAATGTCACTAGCTACTGAGAAAATCTACATCCTACAACCTTCTTTTCTGATACTAGTCTTTGCTTTTCTTTTTTTTTTT